GACGACGGACAGGACATCGACGGCGGCGACGACGCGGCGACTGCCGCAACCCCTCGATCGAGGGCAGCCCGCCCGCGGCGGTGTCGAGCCGCAGGTCGGCGGCGGCGCGCCTCTTGAGAAGTCGGTGCGGCAGTCTGCTCGCCATAGTTCGGTGCCCTGGAGGCCGGGGTCGGGCCCTGGACTGTTACCGTGGGGGCCCCCTGGGGGCCCATGCCCAGAAACACCCTGCTTGCCTCCAGGGTGCCCTGGGTGTCTTGGGTTTCGATGTCTCTGCGACGGGAAGCGTGACGCTCCCACGCCAGAAATCGATGGACGCCCTGGGGCCCCGGGGTCGGGTTTCTTGTGGAAGGTTTCTTGCGGTCGGGCCCCCACTGTAAACAATTTCATTCAGATGAGGAATATGGAGAGATCTCGTCGCCACGGCTGGATTCGCAACAGACTGGTCCGAACGCGTTGTGGGAGAGGTACGGGCGGCAGCGGTATCGGTGCTTCTTGGGCCCCCAGTATTCAGATCGAAAATTTGCCCCGGCGTATCTCGAGCAGAGGCTGTATAATTAAATGAGGCGTCCCAGGACGCAGCGGCCCGATAAGCGTAGAGCAGAATCAGATGAAGTGTTGAGCTGCTTGAGCTGCGGCAGAGACAGAAAGAGGAGGGCGGCGGGGGATGATGAGCAGAGGTGGGGACGAGCAGGAGCAGCAGGAGCAGAAGGGGTAACAGCTGCAGGATGGTCAACAGCAGGAGCGGAATGCGCCAGTTGGAGAAGGCAAGGAGCAGGACGAGGTGGAGACAACCCCAGAACACCCTTGACCCCCTATGTTAGAAGCCTCAACAACACCCCGAATCCTCTGAAGCCTCTTCCGACTCATCCTCCTCCCTCGTCTTCCCTCGTCTTATTGCTTCCTCCGCCTCATCCTCGATGGGGAGGAGGAGAAGGAGGAGGAGAAGGAGGAGGATGCACAGCCGCAGAAAGCAATGTTGTGTTCTCTCGCGAGGCCGTCGTTTGCCCTCCTCTCGTCTCCCTATCCTCGTCGAGGAGGAGGAGGAGGAGGAGGAGAAGGAGGAGGAGAAGGAGGAAGGGGAGCACAGCCGCGAAACGCGGAAGAGCACCGCTGTGTTCTCTCCGGGGGGTGTTGTGTGCTCCCTTCTCCGCTTCGTCCTCCTTGTCCTCCTCTTCCCCCTCCTGCTCCTCCTCGAGGAGGAGGAGGAGGAACAATAAGAAATAAGAAGAAGAAGAAGAAGAAGAAGAAGAAGATGAGGAGAAGGAGGAAGAGGAGGAGGAGGATGGGAAATGACGGGAAAATGCAGGAGAGCAACGCTCTGCTCTCTCGGACGGGGGGAGGGTTGCGCGGGGGCTTAGGAGGGCGTCGCCTGCCCTCCCGCATCCTTCCCCTCCACTCTCCTCCTCTCTCCTCCTCTCTCCTCCTCCTCCTCCTCCTCCTCTTCCTCCTCCTCCTCCTCCCTCCTCCCCCCCTCCGTAGCCATTTTGGCTCAAGCGAGTCAGGCAGCGGGAGGCCCACGCACGGCGGCGCGCGCCCAGCTCGCGCTTGGCGCGCGCATGTGGCCCATGGCGGACCCCGAGCCCGACGGCAAGCGGCGCTGGGCTGCGGCGTCGGCGCGCACGCTGGCCAGGCGGCGCCGACGCGCATGGCGCGCCGCTGTCGGCGAGTCGCGGGCGCTGGCCATCAGCAGGAGGGTTGACATTTTCAGGAGGTCGCTTGGGGCCCATTGGGCCCTAGGCGACGCGCTGGGCGGCCATGAGGCCTCGATCATGGCTGCGGTGGGAGCGGCCAAGCTCATCGGCCTGGACGAGCTCGCGGCGCTGGCCGAGGAGCTCGGCATCTCGGCCAACTGGGCTCGGCACGCTGCACCGCCTGGCCTGGCGCGGCTCCGCAAGGCTCCCTCGGGGATCGCGGCGACGGAGCTGGAGAAGTTCCGCGCCCGACTCCATTCCCCCGAGTTCGTGGTGGTCACCTCGCTGATGGCGGAGGCGCGCCCGTCGCAGTGCGACGACGGGGACGAGTTGGAGTCGGAGAGGCAGCATGAGCAGGCCGTTCAGACGGCGCTGGCGTCCACCAGCGGCAGCGCCGGCGAGGGCTTGGAGGTGGCAGCAACGGCTTCCGAGGTCGAGGAGGGCGTCGCCCCCAGCTGCCCCGACTACCAGCATGAGCGCGGCAATGAGCAGGAGTACGAGGATCTGACGATGCGCCCCGACGTGGTCGATGCCGTGGTGGATGGCGACCCCAGGGGCGAGGACATCGGCCTGCTGGATGCCGTGCTGGATGTGCCCGCTGGCGGCCTGAGCATCGGGACTGGCCCCGCTGGCGAGAGTCTGAAGGAGGAGCCGTGCGTGTTCGACGTCACGGACGAGGAGCCGATGGACCCTGCGGTGCTCGCGCCCGTGCGCGCGATGGACCGCGCCGTCCCGCGGGCAGCCCCTGGTGTTCCGCCGAGGGGCTTGGTCGAGCAGTGGGGCCACGTCGGCAAGAATCCGGAGCCAGCTGGCAGCCCGTGCGATCGTTGGGCAGCCCTGGCTGGCGATGAGGACGACGGCATCGGAGAGTACGACGCCAACCCCGTCCATTTCGGCGGCACGGTCCATGCGTGTGCGCCCATCGCACGGTCCCCCGTTGTACACGCCCCTGACGAGAAGTCGATTGGTGTGAAAGGCAGCGGCGGTCTGTGAGTGGCGCGAGGCGCAGCTGTGCTGGCAGCGGCGTCACCGCTCGGCCGCTCCCTGAGTGGCATCCCGTTCGTCGCGATGCTGCTGGGCGCGTGCTTCGTGGTCGACGTCGCGGCTGGGCGGGGGAGGAGCTCCCACAGGCTCGTGTCCTGTGGGCCTTCCCCGAGGCCAAAAGACGCAACTCCTTGTTGCTCCGCTTGAGTCCCGCTTGAGTCCTCCCTCCTCCCCCTCCTCCTCCTCCGCCTCCTCCTCCTCCTCCTCCTCCTCCTCCTCCTCCTCCTCCTCCTCCTCCCTCCTCCCCCTCCTCCTCCTCCTCCGCCTCCTCCTCCTCCTCCTCCTCCTCCCTCCTCTCCCTCCCCCTCCCCTCTCCCTCCCTCCCTCCCTTCCTCCTCGAGGGCCTCCAGAGGGAGGGTGATGATCATGAGGAGGAGGAGGAGGAGGAGGAGGAGGAGGAGGAGGAGGAGGGGAAGGAAGCAGAGGAGGGCGGCGAGGAGGAGGGAGGAGGAGGGAGGAGGAGGAGGAGGAGGAGGAGGAGGAGAAGAACTGCCGTCTCTTGGCTCCACCGCCCGTCGCTGCCCGTCTCCGCTCGTGCACGCATATGTCGTCGGCACCTGGGACACCATGCGCCTCGCAGGGCCGTGCGCAGGAGGAGGCACGTCCCCGGCGCCTTCCATTTCGTCCTAGCATGAAGTCGGGCGTGTCCCTCCACAGGGGAAAATGCCAAAAATTGTCAAAACATAGTCTGGGGGCGTTTTTTAAATATGTTTGAATGTTTGGGGTGTTTTTTTGAGTATGTTTTGTTTTTTCGCCCAAAATCCCCCTGTCGGGGGACACGCCCGACTTCATCCTGGCACCTTCCCGTCGGCCGCTCGCTCCCCGAACGGGGCAGGCTCCCACCCGCTGCTGCGGGAAGTGCCCGGGTGCCCCTTAAGGGCGGGGCGGCTGCCCCCGACGCCCCCCGTGCCGCAGGCCGGGTCCACGACCTGCGCCCCGACGCCCCCGGGAGCCGCGGCGGCGCGGGGGGCGCCGGAGAGCGCCTCGTGGCGAGGGCGGCCTTCTCCTGGGACGCGGACGCCAAGCCGAGCATGCCCCGGTCGACCCAGGAGCGGCCCTTTGCCCCGCTCCGTGGCCTCGCTCTCCGCCCCTCCCTGCGGTCTCGCCCGCCATCTCCCCCGTCCTCCTCCCCGCCATCAGCAGCAGCGGCATCGTCACCGGCGTTTTCACTGTGAGTAAGAGTGCCGTTGCCTCCGTCCTCGCCATTCCTGTTCACTGTCACCATCCAGCCGCATCAGCATCACCATCACCATCACCATCCTCCTCCTCCTCCTCCTCCTCCTCCTCCTCCTCCTCCTCCTCATCCTCATCCTCCTCCTCATCATCATCATCAGCCGCATCCTCATCATCAGCATCGCCATCAGCAGCATCAGCATCAGCATTGACAGCATCACCATCATCGTCATCAGCATAATCGATTTCATTCCCAGCAACATGATCAGCAGCACTGGCATCAATGTCATTATCATCAGCGTCACCATCATGAGCATCAGCGTCATCATCATAGGCATCATCAGCAGCAGCAGTATTATCATTATCATCATCGTCATCACCATTGTCATTATCATCATAATCGTTATCATCATCCTCAGCATCATCACCAGCATCACCATCGTCAGCATCAGCCTCATCATTACCATCGTCGTCATCGTCGTGGTCGTAGTCGTTTCTGTCATCGTTGTTATTGTCAGCATCGTCATCCTGATCACCACCATCATCATTTTCATCAGTACCAACGTCATCTTCATCACCACCATCCTCACCATCACCACCCTCATCATCACCATCATGATCACCATCATCATAATCCTTACCATCCTCACCATCACCATCATCGTCATCAGCAGCAACATTATCATCATCATGTTTATCATCATCACCATCATCAGCATCATTACCATCGTTAGTACCATCATCAGCATCATCGTCAGCAACAATATCATTATCAAGGCTCTGCTCGATTCGTGAAGTGTCCCTTTTCGAGACCTTGGTGTGGGGGGGTCGGGGGGAGCAAGCTGAGGAGGAGCAGGGTGTGGGATGCGGGCGGGGCGCAATAAGTACGCCGGAGTGAGGGCGACAGGAAGCGGGAGGCAGAGGCGGAGGAGGACGACGGGGGCGAGCGCGATTGGGGACGAAGACGGGGACAGAGATGGGGGAGGAGGAGGAGGAGGAGGAGGAGGAGGAGGGAGGAGGAGGAGGAGGAGGAGGAGGAGGAGGGAGGAGGAGGAGGATGGCGGTGGCGGTGGCGGTGGCGGTGGCGGTCTGGTGGTGGTGGCGGAGGGGAGGTGGAGTGCCAATAATGCATCAACAGGAAGATTTGAAGGAGGATGTAGGGAGGAGGCAGCCATGAGGGACGGATGGATGGAGCCGCTGGAGGAGGAGGAGGATTGGCCTGCCCTGGACAGGTCCTGTTGTTTGGCCCAGCCCTGGCTGGACAATTTTTCGTTGCAGAGGGAGGAGAGAGAGAGAGAGAGAGAGGAGGAGAGGAACATAAAAGGGATCATGATCACGTGGCTGAGGGATGGAGTGTGGACGCTGAGCTGCAGGCGGGTGCTATGAAGATGCGAGGGTGTGGGGGTGGCAGCAGCATGCTGTAATTCTGCTGGGGTTGGCGGCGAGAACGGCTAAGTAACGACGGTTTGCGAATACCTTCATCGCCGACGTAGGGCATTGCGGCAGCGTGGCCACACTCGCCCAGATGGAAGGCGCAAAGGCCTCCCCCCCTGCCTGTGAGAAGCCTGGACAGGCGTATACCAGTCCTAGGACGGGGACCCTCGCCTGCACGCAGGCGTAGGGCTCCCAGACGAAGGACCTGGTGGCCGCCTCTGGAGGTTTCACTGGGGATGAGGGGGAGGTTTGGGCCTTCCGTGGTGGCGGCCACGGAAGACGATGCGGCACGTGCAGTTCCCACTGCCACCTCATGATGCATCCCTCCCTACGAGAGCAGCGCGGGTTGGAGCGGTGACGCTATCTCGTGAGACAACGCACAGAGGATTGGCGAGATGCAGAGGTGGAGCTGGGGCATGCTGGCGGTTCTGCTGGATGCTGGTTGGCGGTGGCGCGGCCGCGGCCACCCAGAGCCTTCGCCAGGGTAGCCAGCAGTGAGTTGCTCCTTCGTCCCCCCCAGGTCCACCCTATTCCGCTCCCTCTCCCTCGTCATCATCATTCCATCCTTCGTCATCCATTCCTTTTCCATCTTAATAAGTCCTCCCTGTCTCATCCCGAGGCCGGTCGGAAGGGCGGGCGGGGCGTTTCGCATGAGGCTTCTTTACGATTAATGCTCCTCAAGCTAAAAATTGGCAGCCGTTTCACACGTGGAGGGCGGGCCGCTTTCAACATGTGGCTCTCGCTTTAGCGTCGCGCACATATGTTTTAACCATTAACAAGAGCTTCACTGATTGAGGGCGGGCCTTGTTCAAAATATGGTTTTCGCTTGAGCGCCGCGCATTTTCGCTTCAAAAATTCGCAAGAGCGCCACGGATGAAGGGCAGTTCCTTTTCAAAATGTGGTTTTCGCCTCAGCGCCACGCACATTCGTTTCAAACATGTGCAAAGGCTTCACGGATTGAGGGCGGTTCCTTTCAATGTGGCTCTCGCTGCAGCGTCGCGCACATTCGTCTTCAGAAATGTCCCAGAGTTTCACGGAGTGAGGGCGGCTCTTCTTCACATTGAGGCTCTCGCCTTTGCGCCGCGCGCACTCGACTTAATCACCTGCAAGAGTTTCACGGATTCTCATCGCTAGCGCACCAAAAATTGTGTTCTGGCGTGGTTCAGGATTGCCATGGCGCAACAGTTACGTTGATGCGCGGTGTTGAAGTCCCTGGAATGGTGTGTTGTCACGGTTCAGGATCGTCAAGACGCAACAGTCAAGTTGATTAGAGGCGTTGAAATCCCGAGAACGGATGTTCTGGCACGCTTCAGGATATTCAAACGGTTGTCTCGCAACGGGGCACTTCCGTCAGTCTGAATGATTTCTTGTCGGGGCCATGGAGATGGAGCTTGGAGGGAGGGTTTATTACATCATCATTGTTCATGAGTCTTGGGTTTGCACTGGTCCTTCTGCTCCTCCCCCTCCTCCCGCTCCTCCTCATCGTCATCATCCCTGGGGGGGAGGAGGAGGAGGAAGAGGAGGAGGAGGAGGAGGAGGAGGAGGAGGAGGAGGAGGAGGAGGAGGGGAAGAAGGCGGGAGGAGGGGGGATGAAAGAGGAGGGGGGGGGAGAGGGGATGGGGGCCCCTCCCTCCTCTCCGCCCTCCCCCTCCCCTCAACTGAAGGGTCCCAGGGACACGCAAGCAAAAGGACACGCATCCCAGGATTCCCCCCGTGCTGGTCCACATCTTCTATAGATGCTCGTCTCGCCCTCATCTTTTTGCCACATGTGTTAGATATTTGCGGTGGAATCGACGATGATTTGTGTCTGTCTGTTTCTTGCCCCCTGCAGCGGAGGCCCATGCCAAGAAACACCCTGCTCGCCTCCAGGGTGCCCTGGGTTTCTTGGGTTTCGACGGTCTTGCGATGGCAAGCGTGACATTCTCACCCCAAAAAGCCATGGAAGTCCTGGGGTCTCAGGGTTGGGTTTCTTGTGGGAGGTTTCTTGTGGTCGGGCCCCCACTGTACTGACGAACGAGCCTCCCTCCCCCCCCCCGGGCGCCCGGACGGGGCCGGCGGGGACGGCCGCCGTCGGGGGGGGGGGAGGGCGAGGAGATGGTGCAGCAGGCCGCCGACGCGGTGATGCGCGCCTACCGGGAGGGCAACACCCGGCAGGCCGGGGGAGCTCCCCTCGGACGGGGAAGGGTCGACGAGGCGTAAGATCCAGACACCCCTCGAGTTCTTTTGAAAAAAACGATAAGGTGAAACGAGTAGTCTTAAAATAATAGTGAGACTGACCAGAAGAGTAAGAACCCGCTGCCGAACATAAGACATTCGCAATTTATATCCTCTCGGACGGGGAGAGATCGACGAGACGCAAGATCCAGTCCCGCCCTCGAGCTCTTTTTCTGGAACAAAAAAACACGACGGGAGGTTTTTCTTTGTTTTCGGCTTTTGGGGTTCCTCACCGGCCCTCCGGAGCGTCAAAAAACAACTCAGGATGAAAGGCCGGTCTTGGCGAATGGGTCGAGACCTCTGAAGGTGGATGTCATGGAAAAACCATGACGTCGGGGGTCTGGGGAGTGACCATTCGCCCGAGTGACCGTCGGTGTGGGCCCAATGGAGCCCCCCGATCGCTGAGCACGAAGCTGTAGCAGCGGCTTGCGCGCCCGGGTCTGTCCATCCCGCGTCCCCGGTTACGCCGCGCACCAAAGGTCACTCTTACCCAGAGTCACTCTTACGTGTAGCCGAAGAAGCTGACGGGGCCAGGACGAGGATAAATCCATACCAGAGCGTTGGAACGCTTTTGGAGCCTTCTGGGACGCTTTGAGAAGGCCGCGGCGCCCGAGATATCTTCCAGAGCCACTGGATCTTAGAAGTTCTGGATTTATCTTCACCCGATGTTATTATCGTCTTGGATTCGCCTAACAAGTGCAGTCGAAACCGATAGTATGGTTGATCGACATCCCAAGGGTACCCCTGCATCTTTGCCTCGTCGGCCATCTTCGGTCCATCTTCAACCACTTGCGATGGCCAGCCCCGCTCGAGAAGCTTAGACATGAGCGCCCACGGCCACTGAATGCTTATCATCAGAGCGTGAATTACCTGCCCCGCGTTCGCTTCCAGGCAAAGCCAAGTCATACCACGCGCCTCCTCGTCAAGCGGCCTGACCAGTACAGGCCGTACTTTGGCATCGCTTGGTATCTCTTGGAAGCGAGGGTGGTCAAAAGCGAGGTAGGTTTGTTTGCCCTCGATATCAAGAATAATATACATATAACGGCGCACCGGGTCCAGGGGCCCGGGGCCGGGACCCCGACCACAAATGTGGGCTCCGGGGGGCCCGGAGGCTCGTCGGGGCTTGCCGGAGGCCTCCCCGGTCAGACAAGACGGCCCCAGGAGCGCCCAAGACGGCCCAAGAAACTTCCAAGAGGCCTCCAAGAGGGCTCCGAGATGCTGAAGATGGCCTCCAGACGTCCAAGGACGCCCCCAAGAGGCCCCAAGAAGCCTCCAACATGCGTCCCAAGAGGGCCCCTAGACGCAAAAATTGCCCATTCCCTTCGTAAACGTACATTTTCAACAAAGTTGTCTTTTGGGCTTTCCGACGTTACAGGACGGCCCAAGAGGCGCCCAAGACCGCCCCAAGACGGCCCAAGAAGCTTCCCAGAGGGCCCCAGGACAGCCCAAGAGGGCCCCAAGACGGCCCAAGAGGCGCCCAAGATGGCCCAAGAGGGCCCCAAGACGGGCCCAAGAGGGGGCCCAGAGGGGGACCACGAACCGCAAGCTCGAGCCTTCCGCCCCAAGAGGCCGCCAGGAGGCCCCCAGGAGGCCCCTCAAGAGGCCCCAGGAGACCCCAGACGTCCAAGGACGCCCCCAAGAGGCCCCAAGAAGCTTCCAACATGCGTCCCAAGAGGGCCCCTAGACGCAAAAATTGGCCCATTCCCTTCGTAAAACGTACATTTTCAACAAAGTCGCCTTTTGGGCTTTCCGACGTTACAGGACGGCCCAAGAGGCGCCCAAGACCGCCCCAAGACGGCCCAAGAAGCTTCCAAGAGGGCCCCAGGACAGCCCAAGAGGGCCCCAAGACGGCCCAAGAGGCGCCCAAGATGGCCCAAGAGGGCCCCAAGACGGGCCCAAGAGGGGGCCCAGAGGGGGACCACGAACCGCAAGCTCGAGCCTTCCGCCCCAAGAGGCCGCCAGGAGGCCCCCAGGAGGCCCCTCAAGAGGCCCCAGGAGACCCCAGACGTCCAAGGACGCCCCCAAGAGGCCCCAAGAAGCCTCCAACATGCGTCCCAAGAGGGCCCCTAGACGCAAAAATTGGCCCATTCCCTTCGTAAAACGTACATTTTCAACAAAGTCGCCTTTTGGGCTTTCCGACGTTACAGGACGGCCCAAGAGGCGCCCAAGACCGCCCCAAGACGGCCCAAGAAGCTTCCAAGAGGGCCCCAGGACAGCCCAAGAGGGCCCCAAGACGGCCCAAGAGGCGCCCAAGATGGCCCAAGAGGGCCCCAAGACGGGCCCAAGAGGGGGCCCAGAGGGGGACCACGAACCGCAAGCTCGAGCCTTCCGCCCCAAGAGGCCGCCAGGAGGCCCCCAGGAGGCCCCTCAAGAGGCCCCAGGAGACCCCAGACGTCCAAGGACGCCCCCAAGAGGCCCCAAGAAGCCTCCAACATGCGTCCCAAGAGGGCCCCTAGACGCAAAAATTGGCCCATTCCCTTCGTAAAACGTACATTTTCAACAAAGTTGTCTTTTGGGCTTTCCGACGTTACAGGACGGCCCAAGAGGCGCCCAGGACAGCCCAAGAGGGCCCCAAGACGGCCCAAGAGGCGCCCAAGATGGCCCAAGAGGGCCCCAAGACGGGCCCAAGAGGGGGCCCAGAGGGGGACCACGAACCGCAAGCTCGAGCCTTCCGCCCCAAGAGGCCGCCAGGAGGCCCCCAGGAGGCCCCTCAAGAGGCCCCAGGAGACCCCAGACGTCCAAGGACGCCCCCACGACGCTTCGCGTCACCAATTTCTTCTCACAACGATTCCTGGGTCTGTGACTCGACAGAACCTAAGCGCGCGCGAAGCGCGCGTGGTTCTAGTGTAATATATGCTAAATCGGGGGAGACGGACATGCAATACATATTTGCAGGCATCTTCCTGCTATGGGAAGAGAAGCGGTCGTTTCCTTGCATCTGCGCGGCAGCCTCCTGCAGTGGGAAGAGATAGGGAAGGGAAGCCCTCTGTACTGTCATCTTTGCATCTGCAAAATGCACGTCGAGTCCCTTCCTCGGGAGGCTATCTGCATCCGCGGGGCCCTCCCCGGCTCCAGGACCGTCCAAAATTAGCCTGGCGAAGGACCCAACAATATGCAGTTGTGGGTAAGGCAGTTGTGAATATCATCTTCGATGGAACTCCCTATAGGGCCACCAAACGTGTGAGGGGCGTGCCGAAGTAGGTGAGGGGGACGCATGTGGACGGTGGCACTGGGGCCTTCGGTGAAGCTTCCTATGGGGCCACGAAACGTGTGAGGGGTGTGCCGAAATGGGTGGCGGGGACATGCAGACCCTGCCACTGGGGCCTTCGGTGGGGCTCCAGGGTTCTCGGTTCACTATGAGGAGGAGGAGGAGGAGGACGAGGAGGAGGAGGAGGAGGAGGAGGAGGGGGAGGAGGAGGAGAAGGAGGAGGAGACGGAGGAGGAGGAGGAGGAGAAGGATGAGGAGGAGGAGGAGGAGGAAAGAAGGACAGAGAAGTTGTTCCACCTCTTCAGTCCTCCTCCTCAGTCCTCCTCATCGACTACCAACTCGTCGTCGTCCTCCTCCTTCTCATCATCATGATCAGTTTCATTGTCGTCATCATCATCACCATCATCATCACCACCATCATCATCATTAACATCAGCATCATCATCATCATCATCATCAGCATCACCATCTTATTCATCATCAACACCATCAACATGAGCAGCATCTACATATTATTGTTCTTCATCACCACCAGTACCGTTATTTATGGCATCAGCATCATCACAATCAGCAGCATCATCACAACCACCATCGTCAGCGTCAGCATCATCACTATCATTATCCAGATCATCATTGTCGTCGTCGTCGTCGTTCCCACTAGTTCCTCCTTATCGGGCTACGCGCAAGGAAGAGAACGAGAATGAGGACGGAGGAGGCGGATGAGGAAGGTGGCTCGCGGATTGAAGCTTGTCGTCCAGCGACAGAGTCACACGTTGGACGCTCTAGAAAAGCCTCTCCTTCCAGAACTGAAGGAGTTGGCATTTGTTCCTCGGAAGAAGACCCGCGGAGGGCGGCGGAAGTAAAACGGGGCCGCCCCCGCCAGAGGAAGCCGGCTGAAGGCTGGCGGAATTCGGCGGGGTATTCCCGATGTCCAAGGTCAGTAGGTAATCATTGTCTCTTCGCTTGCCAGAAATCGAGCTTGCAAGTGATGAACACCCGCATCTTATGCAAGGAGCGGTAGCTGCCGGATGTAGAGACCCGCGTTGGTTGATGGTTTTGTTCAGCGACAGGGACCCCCTGTTTTGTGGGGAACGGAGCTTGTCAGCGCTAGTCACCTTTTTTTGCACGGCTTCGGGCTCGGAACGCCTGCGGCGCTGGGGCGACGCAACGATTCACCGATGTGGAAGGGCAACGTCTTGCATTCTGACCGCGCAGAGCGTGGGGCTCCGCCGAGTGCGTGACGACGAAACGCGTGAGGTGCGGCTCCTCGTGGGTGTTGAGCATCCACCTCGCCTTCGACCTCGACGCAGACGCCGCCTCGAGGCTGCTCGCGAGTCGCCTCTGGAGATCCTCGCTGCCGAGGCTGGACGCAGCTCGGAAGAGTTGCCAGCACGAGCGGGCCCTCGCGGGACCGATGTGGATGGATGTCTCGCCGGGCCGCGTCGTGCGCACGCGCCACCCGGGAGGGCCAGGCGGGGCTCCCGTTGGGGGCGCGAGTCGCGCGAGGGGCAGGCCGCTCTGGGCAACAGGCCGCACGGCGCCTCACCGGGGGTCTCGGGCGGAGGCCCCTCCCCGGGCGCGGTGCCGAGGCCGCGAACGAGGGGCGGGGCGTTCGGTGCGGTGGGGACGTCCTGGGCAGCTGGGGCGCGCGGCTCCTCGGCGCAAGCTGAGCGGCCGCGGGCAGGCACGCCAGTGCCCCACCCCCCTACGCCCCTCCGGAGGGCCGGGGCCGTGCGTTGCGCGGCGTCTACAGAGCCGCCCAGCGGCATTCGGAGACGGCCCTTGCCTCCACTGAGGGGCAGGGGCGTGCATGGACGGGGGCTTTGCCCTGACGCGGGCGGCCAGAGGAGGGCCTGCCGCTGAGACTCCGGGTTTGGGATCCCGGGCCCGCTGGGGGAGGGGCCGCGCGACGCGCCGGGCTCCTTTGCGCGCGGGGCTCCTTGACGCTTCGTGCCTTCCTCCCTGCGCCCCAATCTACACTGGTTGTGCTGCGATCTGCCGACGCCTGGTTGCTGGCTCCCCTTCCGGGGGGGAGCCTGGGCATAAGGCGCGCGGATCCCCGCCGGCGTGGTGCGGCTCGCGCAGGGGATGCGGCTGCGGAGGGGGGGGTCCCGTGTTGCGGGGGGGTCGGTTCGTCGTCGTCTTCTTCGGGGGGTTCGCCCATACTCGGCTTGTATAGCCTGATTTACGCTGGCACCTAAGCGTGCCCCTTGCATGACTCATCAGCTTGACAACTGATATCCCTGACTGCGGCTGGCGATTTGGCCACCGCCTTTCACACAAACGGGGGCCAGGACCAGTGCGGCGGCCAGTAGCTTCCTCCTCGGCTGCTGGTTGCCCTGCTTGGCTTTTTCAGTGTTGATTCCACCCCGGGGTGGCCTCGCGGCGGCTCCAGGGTGGTCTCTTCTTAACCCCATTTGACTTCTCTCGGCCTCCGGCCGAGGGCGTCTACGGCATAGGCACCGTGTCGCCATCAACCACAACAACAACAACAACAACAATCACTTTACCCGAGCGCTCAGTGTTCTCACCAGTGCCAGGGTTTTCATGCGACGCCAGCCAATACCCCCACTTTGTGGGGGGGCAGTGCAAGCTCTACCAAATATCCACACGACTCTTCGCCACCACCCACACCCAGCTTCCCGCCCTATGACGTTCGGACACTTCACTTCGTGGCCTGCGGACGACCGTGGCTACTACACTGGCGTGGAGTACACACCCACAGAAGTTGTTAAGCCTACGTTCGTACACCCACAGAAGTTGTTAAGCCTTGTTAACCCACAGAAGTTGTTAAGCCTTCCACAGAACATCTGTTGCATATGATGCATATGGTACATGATACACATGATACACATGATACGTACTCACAAGATAGTTGATCACATCTTTAGGGCAAATTCCTGAGGGATGTGGGAATACACAAGAGAGAGAGGATATGGTTGTCCCGATGGTTGTCTCGATGGTTGTCCCGATGGTTGTCCTGATGGTTGTGGTTGTCCCGATCGTTGTCCCGATGATTGTCCCGATGGTTGTCCTGATGGTTGTGCTTGCCCCGCATGGTATTATTGGTTGTCCTGATTGGCGAAGAAAAAACGAATGTGTCCCGCATGGTATTATTTGACAGGGATGATGGCCCTGGCAGGTGCGCAACCGTTGTCGCAGAAGTTCGAAAAAGTTGCTCGCAAAAGCCCGTGTGACAGAAATGTTTAAAAAGTGTTGGGTTCCCTACGAATCCGCAAGAGCGCGCGGGATGAGATTTTGACAATTTTTTGTTGAAAAACCATTGGTTTTTTGATGTTTTTATGTTAAAATCGCTGCGAACACTAAGGTTTTGGAAGGATTTCGTCTTGCGCGCGCGAATGTCCACTTTACCTTATTTTTTGCAAGGGATTCTTGAAATTTGATTATATTAGAACAAGAAATGTCATTTTCGATTGTTTTTTGCAAGGGAAAGCGGATTACAACAAAACAACCGGATCCTGTACACACCCTCTTTTCTGAGGCTTCCTCACGAAAGTGATGAAAATGTAGCTGCGGCCTAGGCGGCGCAGGGGGGGCGCACACCAGGGGGCCCAACAATAATTATTCTTTAGAATAAACAATAATTATTCTTTAGAATAAATAATGTTCAACAGGGACGTGCCCCAGAGATTGCAGGCCTTGTGGGGTCCCTTCTCGGATGAGGGCGGTGGTGAGAGTTATGGCTGGTCCACGATTGGAGTTCCACCAGCTTCAGACCTTGGATTCCTTATCCAATGGCCCCGTACAGTGAAGGCGCTGACCACCTTGGGCTCAGGGGGGGCTCTGCTTTTCGGGCCGTTCCCTAGATCTTGGCCGTGGAACCTAGTCGTGGACGAGGCTCGCAGTGGCCAGAGGAGCCTCTTCGTGCCTCACCGACTGCTCCTTCTGCGGACCGCAGCGATCGGGTGCCCCGGCGGACCTCCTGGGCTGGTCGGCGGGTCCCCTTGCAGGGGGACGCGCCACGCGCGGGGGCTTGGCCTCCTCAGGGGACCAGGGCCGCGGTGCGCGAGCGCCGCGTCCTGGGCGCCCCGTGGGCTGGTGAGGCGCGCCCTCGGGTGGAGCACTGTCAGTGCGTGGGCCGCGCAGCACGTTAGGGCATTCGGCGAGGCTCGCTATGCCCGCTGTGCATGGAGGAAGAGGAGGAGGAGGAGGAGGAGGAGGAGGAGGAGGAGGAGGAGGAGGAGGAGGAGGAGGAGGAGGAGGAGGAGGAGAGGAGGAGGAGGAGGAGGAGGAGGAGGGGAGGAGGAGGAGGAGAGGAGGAGGAGGAGGAGGAGGAGGAGGAGGAGGAGGAGGAGGAGGAGGAGGAGGAGGAGGAATAGGAGGAGCGGGAGGAGGAGGGGGAGGGGGAGGAAGAGCAGACGGGTTGGCTGTGATCGAGGATCGCTTCAGCCATCAGGAACCAGCAACCAGAAGCAGGAGGAGGAGGAGGAGGAGGAGGAGGAGTACCCTGTGATCCTCCTTCCTCATCTTGCCCCCCCCCCCCCGGGTGTTGGTGGGCGCAGATACCCCGTCTTTTGGAAAGGGGGCCTCTGCCGGCCGTGCTCTTCTCCTATCCACCTCGCACGTCAATGCCTTCGATACCCCCCATCCTCAAGCAGTGGCGAAGCGTCTTGGCTCGCCTATAGCCCTACCAAACAATGTTCTAAGACCCTCTTGTGGTTTCCACGAAATGTTATCAGCACATTGCTGGCGGAGTCCGTCTTGGTTTAACACATCGGGTAGATCTATACATATATATAGTATAAGAACATTGTTTTTGTTATTAGAACATTCTTGGGTTCTAAGAGCGCTTCGTGGTAGGACTATAGGCATGCCGGGACAGTCGGTCCCTGCTCAACATCCAGGGGCGACCACCCCCGGGGTGGCTGGGGGGCGGCAGCCTCCCGGCACGGGCACCGATGCCGGCAGCGACGGCGACCGGAGATGGGCCCGAGAGGCGCTCCACGGAGGCGCCTCCCAGGCCCAGCGCCTCGGCGAGGTCCGTCCTGTTCAGGGAAGCCCTGCATTCGAGCGCTGGCGCGCAGCCGCACACCCTGGCCGACGAGGAGTCGAGGCCCTGGGGCCGACGTCTGGAGGAGCCACGGCTGCTCGAGGCTCCTGTTGGAGGAGGGGGGGAGGGGCGCAGCGCAGTGGTGGTCAAGGAAGTGAGGGCCCTGCTCGATCTCCGTTTGGGACAGCGGAGGAAGGGCCACGCGCAGGCGATCCGCCTCCGCCTGGACGAGGTTTTCGACATGGAGCAGATCTACCTGAAGGGGCAGCCCGCGCTCTTGAACGCCTCGCTGCCGATGATGCGCAGCTTCGCGGCGCGGCTATGGGGCGGGGAGTCCATGAAGAAGGTGAGAGTCTCCATTGTGGACGAGGAGGTTGCCGGGCGCGGCCGAAACGCTCGCCTCAAAGGCGGCCCCATGCGTCCTACCACTCGAAAAGATACGTAATGAGTGAATACACATTCGGCGGTCCGCGCGGATTTTTGTCTTGGATCGGCGCTGGGGCCCCCCTGGCGGCGCCTCCGTCGTTGCCACCAGCGCCGATCCGAGAAATCCGCGCAGACCTTTTTTGGAAACTGTGTTCATGCCGTTTCTTGTTCCTCTGGCCAGCAGACGGGGAGATGGCCCCCGGGGATTCTGGACGGCGAAGAGCATCTAGGGAGATGCGTAAACAGCGAAATTGGTGACAACGACACAGTTTGGAAGGGGGGTTAGAACGCCCCTGAGGTCGGAACTTTGATCTACCGCGAGGCTGAACAAGAGCAGATGGACGTAGCAGTGCTGTATTTACCCGGGCGCAAACTCGTTGCAGAGCCCAAGATGCAGAAGTTTTTGGGTGATATGAAGGACAGGCTAGTCATCATGAGCAACCCTCAGAACGCTCCAGATCCATGGTACATCGAAAGCAAGGGGGAAGATTTCAATGCAGAGGGGGCTGGTAAATTCGGTGCCTCTCTATGCGAGACCTTCCAACAGCAGTCGTACTACTATTCCAAGGGCGCGTTCAACAACTGGCAGCTGACGGTTTTCCGAGCGTACCCCTTCGAATGGGAGTACTACATCGAGGATCTAAATTATACAACTACGTTGATTGCGACATCCGAGACCAAGCTCGACTATTATCAGACCATTCGCGCGATGGAGAAGTACGAGGCGGAAAACGGTGTGAGGCCGACACAGAAGGTCGGGAAGATGATCAAGGATTCCGTGGCCGCCGAGCAGGCGAGCGAGGAGCGGGAGCCCGGCTGGAGGAATTTCAAGCAGGATTTCTGACGCGTTGGGCGCCTTCCTTCTCCTCTCTCGTCCTCCCTCTGCCTCTTTCGTCGTCGTCCTCAATATAGGCGATTTCGGAGACCCTCCTCCTTCTCCTCATCATTCTCCTCCTCCTCCTCCTCCTCCTCCTCCTCCTCCTCCTCCTCCTCCTCCTCCTCCTCCTCCCCCTCCTCCTGGTCTTCCCCTGAAAGATCGTCCCCCGGGCCCGTCCGGGGGCACGTTCCGACTAGGCTTCCGTGGCGGATCCAGCCGCGGCGACGAGGAGCGTCCCGCAGGCCCAGAAAGAGCAACAGATGCCACAAAGACTTGAACCTCGTCCTTCTCCTCTCCCCCCCTCCTCATCCTCCTCATCTTGCTCCTTCTCCCTCTCCTCATCCTCCTCCTCCTTCTTCTCTCTCATCCTGCTTTTCTTTCTCTACGAAGAGCGAGTTGCAGGAGGAGGAGGAGGAGGACGAGGACGAGGAGGTCTAGGACGACGACGAGTATCACGGCGACGACGATGGCGACGACGGGGGCGACGACGAGGGCGAGGAGGAGGAAGACGAGGAGGAGGAGAAGGAGGAGGAGGAGGAGGAGGAGGAGGAGGAGTGGGAGATCCTCCTCAACTGAAGTATTTGGAAGCTCGGCGCTAACGGTCGAGGGAAGGCAATTCGCGGATCCCATCACGGGGGGCGGGGTCATTTACGTCACGCGTACTTTGGTGCGCGCACTGCAGGTCGTACACATCGTGCATCCTCCCCCTCAAAACTCGGTCCTGGAGCGTCCATCGAGCTGCCCCCCCGAGGGCCCAACAAGAGCAGAAGACGCCTGAGAACCTCGACCCTCGAACCTCGATGTCCCTGCTCCCTGGTCCTCCTCCCTCCTCCGCCTAACCTTTCCTCCTCCTCCTCCATCTCCTCCTCTTGCTCCTCCGTTCTCCTCGAGGAACGCAAGAACGACGTGGCGAAGCAGATGCAAGAGGTGCTGGGATCGGTGTTTCGCCATCCACGGAGAAAGCCAACTCCGCTCAGGACCAGCACAAGGAGCACCTCAAACGTCTTCAAGCGAAGCGTCGACGTACCGCTGATGACGGACCTGGCGAACAAGCAGCAGCCACTGGGGGGAACGAGCCTGGACCAGGGGTATCGCCAAGCCCAGAGACAGCGACGCCGTGCTCAACCGCTGAGGCGACGGTGGATGCGCTGGGAAAGGCTGCCCCACAGGTGGACATTCGCTCTCGCGTCGCTGCTGACGGTGGCGTCAAAGCTGCTAAACGGGCAGGCCTTTAGCAACAGCGTGAGCTCGACTCAGGTGGGGGCGACGTGGTCGAGTTCGGCGACTCCCTGCTCTTGGTTTTCGAGGTCGTTTGCCACGTGCGCATCGGCGAAGCCATCTTCTTCGGTTGAGTGGTCAGCGTCGGGGTTGGCTACTCCCTGTGCTGCGGTGTCGCCGTCGGCGCCAGTGTCGGCGACTCCCTCGGCAGCGGTGGCGACGTCGACTTCGCGGGTGGCGTCTACCAGTTTTGTCGGATCGGAGTCCAGGTGCGCCTCGAGCCTGGTCTCCTCAGAGTTTTATTGCGTGGAAGGGCGGCCACGTGTGTCGGCAACAGGTCAGAGCGCCGAGTACGTGACAGCCAGTCAGAACGCAGCCGTCAAGCCCAATCAGAGCTTGGCGGCCCTCCCGTCCAAACCTTTTGTCGGATGCAGGAAGGAAATTTCAGCGTCAGAGCGTGACAGCCAGGTGCTCCTCGAGCCTGGCTGTCTCAGAGTAGATTGTGTGAATCCACCGTGTGAGTCTGGAGTTAGATTGCAAAATCCTGGGGGCAACCGATTCTCGGACGAAGTGCCCACCCAGGTTCAGTCGCCACGGGCTGGGTCTCGAGCCAAGGGAGTCAGTGTTGAGCCACCCCATGGAGAGTCTCAAGCAGCGCTGCAGCAGAAGCAGGTCATCTCCTTGTTGGAAGGGCTTCCTCCTGAGGATCACGGTGACCTAGGCACGTTCCGAGTCGGCACTCTCAATGCGAATACGTGGCCAAGGGCTCGGATCACCATGTCATGGATCGAGAAACAATGCCAGATGCCGCACGTGTTATGTATTCAGGAGACCGTGTTGGACCAGTCGGGGGAAGCAGGAGCCCATCAATGGTCTCGCTCCTGCTCACGGAAGCTGGCGCTGGGTTCTGCCAAGCGCACTGGAGAATCGGCCAGATCTCTCTCAGCAGGAGTTGGCTTGTCTGCGGCCATGGGCATTGGTGTGGCCAAGCTCCAGGTGCCAGAGAGATGGCAGCACCGAGTGGTGATGAGACTCATGACGGTTGGCACGCACTCGTGGATCATCATCGGCTCAGTCTACGGCGTCGACTCCATCGGCCCCAAGGGCGAGAACCTGGAGTTGCTGGAGTTCCTTAGTGCCTTCTTGGGGGCGCAGCGGTTCCCGTTCCTGCTGGGAGGCGACTGGAATCTAGAACCCGAGGAGATCATGGAGATAGGCTGGCTGGACCTTGCAACCGCCACCATCTTCGCACCTGGCCTCCCAACCTGCAATGGCAAGGAATATGACTACTTCATTGGCTCCCAGGCTCTGGACGCCTTCCCCATGTCGGTGGAGGCCAGGGTGGACTCGCCGATTTCGCCACACTGCTACGTGGAGATCAAGCTTGAGGGCCTCAGGGATGAGCCTTTTGTCTGGGTTGAGGCGCCTCCGCGTGCCTTTCCGCTGGCTGATCAGGAGGCCAAGAGGAAGACCAGGAAGAAGGATATGTGTGCCAAGGAGACCGGTCTCACCTTGACCACGGAACCGCCAATGGTACCTGTGCTTGACGAGTGGCAGCTGGACGCCCCCGTGAGCTCGGTCGAGGAGGCGGCAGCGAGGTGGTTCCACGCGGCGGAGAAGTACCTGGTGCAGTTGTTCGAGATTCCGTCCTCGGACAGGAGGTTCTATGTTGGCAGGGAGAAGGGCGTGGTTCTCAAGAGGAAGAGGCTGGTGGATTGTGCGAAGTCTATTCTTGAGCGCCACGACGAGTCGGACACCAGAGCTTGGTTAAGCGCCCTCAGGCTATGGGATGCCCTATGTGTAGCATCGTCAGCTCCGCCTGGTTCGAAAGCAGGCAGACCAGAACACTCCACGAGATGCGAAAGGCAGCTGCTGGCCTTGAAGCTTCCTGAGGCCATCTCGGATTCCCCCTCCCTGCAGGCAAAGGAGGTCCAGAAGTGGGTCGCCTTGGCCAAGAGGGGAGGTCAATTGTCTGCCTGGTTTCGGACGGTGCTTGCGGAGGAGGTGGAGATGCGCAGGCGCAAGGACTCACAAGCCAGGAGCAAAGCCTGGAGAGAGTTTGGCGAGCTCGCAGCGGATGGTTCTGGCAGGATTGCGCACGCGATCTCCAGGCCCAAAATGTTGGAGGAGGCGCCCACACTGGCCAAGGGCAAGGCCCATGGGCTCGTGGGAGCTGCGGCGATCACGGCGGTGCTGGAGGAATGGGAAGAGCTGTGGATCTCTGACGACAGGGCCCAGGAGGCAGCGCCGTCGGACTGGAGTTACCCGTGGAAACTCGACCAGATCTCGGAGGACCAGATCGTCCAGGTCTGCCGCTCCTTTGGTATGTCCACTGGGCTGGGCTGGGACAACTTTCACATGAGGTTGGTGAGCTTCCTGGATGGGGTTTTTGTGCGGAGGCTACAAGAGATTTTATCAAGATGGGAGCGCAATCCGCACTGTGAGCGCATGCGGGTCACGATCAATGTATTTCTGCCTAAGCCAGGAGGAGGCACACGCCCGATAGGGCTCTTGTGTTTCTGGGCACGTATTTGGAGCAGATGCAGGAGGCAGTATGTCAAGAGTTGGGAAGTATCTGTGGATGCGAAGTTTTTCTGGGGAAAAGATGCCACGACCAGTTGCGACAAGGCGGCGCACTTGCACAACATGCTGGCCTGCTACGCCAGAAGGAAGAGGATGTCGGCCATAACTGTGTTCTACGACATCCGCAAGTTCTACGAGAATGTCAGTCATCAGCAGCTTAGAGAAGCAGCAGAGCACTACAACTTCGACGGCGCCTTGCTGAAGGCGCTCTGCTGCCTGTATCGAGCGCCACGCCGTGCGCGATGGACAGGGGGCACGAGCAGAGTCAGTCATCCGAATGGTACTATTGTGGCTGGCTGCAGTGCGGCAACAGGGGTGGCGAAGCTGATGACATTGTGCCTCCTCAAGCGCCTGGCTGAGGAGACGCCCCCGTGTCGTGCGCTGAACGTCGTCGATGATTTGACGACGCATACCATCGGAGGCCCCAGAACGGTTGTGGAGAACACGGCCAAGAGTTTCGAGATCGTAACATCGGAGCTGGACTCAAGGAAGCTGCCGATTAATTGGGACAAGACGAGATTCATGATGTCCGACCGCTCTCAGCTGCCGGCGTTGATGCAGGATCCCAGGTGGAGTCTTTCGGAGGACAAGCTGGTCATCGCCCACCGCGACCTCGGCGGCGACTCGCTGGACGGCAGGGCGAGGAGGGTCGGCACGCAGGCTTCGAGATGCGAGGCCGCCAGCAGCACGGCGCGTGCCCTACGTCAGCTGGGGCAGAGTGAAAAGCATAGTAGAGTGTTTCGTGTGGGAGCGCTGGCTAAGGCTTCCTGGGGATCCCACATTTTGGGGATCCCGCCGACCACCCTCCATAAGCTTAGGGTCCAAGCTGCGAGATCCTGGGGCCCGCTTCTCCCTGGCACCTCCCTGGGTTTCAGGTTTCTTTCGGCGGCTCGCCTCTGGCTCAGGGACCCGCTTTTGGTGTCGGTGACGTCGGCTGTAAAGGAATTCGTCAGCGTCTGGTGGGCCCGCTCGATTTCCAAACCAGTGTTGGAAGCGTGTGTCCAGGACGCCCTTGCGGTCCAGGGGAGCAGGGCCCCCTGGGGCCAAGTCCGACAGCCTGTGGCTGCGCTGTTCTTGCAGCTAGCTCGGATCCGCTGGAGGTTTGACGTGTCTAGAATGGCCCTGGTTGACGACCTCAACCGTGTGTGGTCAATTGATCGGTTTTC